TTTGCCTCCAATAATTTAGTCCCTGCACTTTGGATTTTGCCATTTTCCGCTATTTTGCATTCTTTTTTCAATTTTTCATCAAACATAAAGTTTTACCTACAAAATACAATATAACATAAATTAAGTAGAATTTTATTCAAAAGACAATAAAATATCATAATTTAGCGCTACGAATAAGTATAGTTGCATCGAAAATTCCAGGAAAACACACTATAATTAATGTTCTTCTAAAATTGATTAATCCAATGGTTGTAAAAGTGGAAAAATATATGGCTGAGATTAAGTTTTGAATAGTGTAAAGTCTACTTTATATATGACTTATATGGAGAAATTATTGGAAGAAAGTTGAAGATTTTAAGATTGTTGGTGCGTACATCAAAGATCATATTGTAGAATATTTAAACCTTAATAAAAAATATTACCTAGCATGTTTTCATTTCGTATAAAGCTTCCGTTTAAAAACGAATAATGCTTTTAGCAGAGCTATAACTCCAATCTATCAAACATAAATAGACAAAGTCAAAAAGGAAGAAAAATTTGAAATCCAAGTGGTGCTATAATAAGTATAACAATCTAGCATTTGATTAATCAATTTGGTTTGATTTTTAGCTGAAATTGAATTAAGAAACTTGTGGCTGAATTGTATTAAAATAATTTGGGTTGGGGACTTGGACCATTTTGAGTTGGATTATTTGGAATTTGAACTAGGATTACTAAGGAATTTTGATTTATTTTTTTGGCAAAATAAAAATAAAACTTTTTCGAGGCTGAGACGGATTTTAGAATCAAATCAGAATGAATTAAACAGTTTAATTGTTGTTGAATTAGAGATCGCAAAAAGTGAAGGCCATAATTGAGATTTTCGAGGCTGAGACGGATTTTAGAATTGGGCTCTTAAGTCGTAGTATGCATTCAAATATTTTTCATTCATAAGAGTTTTAGGGAACTAAATCTGTTAAACTTAAAAATCAACAATAAAATGACAAACAATATGTAAATATTATAATCAAGTAACAAGGTTAAAATGTTCCAAATAATTACTTAATTTCTACTTGCCTTGCGGTTTTAGAATCAAAAATGTCTGTGCAAGAACACTACTGTAGGGAAAATAATGAGCAAATTGATTGGGACCAAGCCCACACCATCAAGCCCAAGTGAGGTTCCAAACCAAAACCAATTGACAATGGGTGGGGTTTTTTCTTCTCCCAACCGATGTTGGACTTCTTGTTTGCTCCCAACAATCCCCTCCTCAAACGAAGGACCACATCATTGTGGCCTCCCCTCAAACGATAATCCATTCGCCAATCATCTTGTACCGCCGTTATTACCGTCGCCCTCGACTAAATGGGANTCCATTCGTCAATCATCTTGTACCGTCGTTATTACCGTCGTCCTTAACCAAACGGGACCCGTCGCCTAACCATCAATGTTAGGAAGACTTTCGACATAAGACACCTCAAACGCAAATGATTTTTAACTCGATCGTCACCACGCTTTCTACTGCGTTTCTCTGACACTGGGCTCTGACATCAGTTGTCGGGAAAATAATGAGCAAATTGACCGGGTCCAAGCCCTCATTATCAAGCCCAAGTGAGATTCCAACCCAAAACCAATTGGCCATAGGTGGAGTAGCCCACTTGAGTTAAATGACGGATTTCTTTTCTTCTCCCAATCGATGTAGGACTTTTTGTTTGCTCCCAACAAATACTTCTAACAGCAATATCCAATTATGTGCATATGTGCAATTGATCCAACATACTTCATTATGTGCATCTGTGCAAATTGTATAGAACACTTCACTAATGAGGCAAACGAAAGAGCACTGCACTAATGTCAAAACCCAAACACAGCATTACACAGCTGATGCTTAAAAGTACAACTATTGCATTGGGTGAGACAGACGATAAATTTTGAATGTACCTTCTGGTTTAGCGGTACTGGTTTAGGAGAATTTCTTCAAAATTCCGGCGCACACGAGAATTCCATTACAAGTTCAATATTTTGCAGGTACAATGCAAATTGACAGAACAAAGAAAACACGTTCAAGATGTAATGCAAATTTTCAAAACACAAACTTTGAACCAGGGCATGAAAGCCATCTCGAGAAAAAGATAAAATAACAACATAAATTCAACAAATTCTAAACCAAAATAATTAAGAATGACATGGGAACCTTAACACATTTAGTTCACATTCACAAAGTATTTGTCTCTTAGACAACCAACATTTCAAAAGAAGTCATGCTGCACTTAGCGGCACGAAACTGAAGCCTCATAA